TAGGCGTGGTTCAACCAGTTAGGCGCAGTTCCACCATCTAGGCATGGTCAGTGGTACCGCCGAAATAGATGGGTGCTGGGCGGAGGCTAGCTCAACGTGAGTTAAGTGGAATATAAGGGTGATGATCTAGGCGCCTAGGCAGCTCGGCCAGAGGGTTCCACCAAGGGGACTAGAGCGCGGGGTAGCTTTAGGACCAAGTCATGAAAAGGTTCACAACCTCAAGGACTCTAAGGATTCATAATCCCTTGACCTAACTAAGTGGTACATACGAGAAAGACTTCTTGTCCCACCAGGAGTCCTCAGCCCCAACTATAAAAAGGGGCACACGTTCATTCATTTACACAACACACATATGAACTCTCGTTACTCTGTCGTTTTCTCTCCAGAATAGCAATGACTTGAGCGTCAGTGTGTTCGTGCCGGGATTACTCTCGGCGTGTTCTACAGGTACCGACAATAAAGGAGGCTCAACCCGGTTCGAGAGGAGCGGTCGAGAGGTTCAGGTATTTGTGGTACAACACTTACTTTAATAAAAACGTATTCTTATGATATTGAATGTCATAGTATACATATATATTTAATGTAGAGAAAGTATGTATGTTGGTCTGCCTAACAATAATTTTACTGTACATAATTATTAGAACCAAAGGAAGAGAGTGCGGTCCCACCAGATGAAGCGCACCATGAGAGGGTGAGTTTAGGTGCACTTTAGTGAGGTTACATCCCAAAACCAATTGGTGATGGGAGGAGTAGCCCACTAGGCTTATAAACTAGGTTCATTTACCCTATCAAATCAATGTGGAACAACTCACAAGTGATATTCCAACACGCCCCTCACTTGTGAGTCCTTCGTAAACCCAAGCCCACATAGCAGGTGAAACGTATAATTATCACGGAGTGCGCTATTTGTAGTACGAACTAAATTAAGAACTGTAGGATGCAGAAGCAGTAAACCGAAGATTTAAAAACTCTTCAGGGAAGTATCCCACTTCCTCTCATAGCTCTTTTATTGATAGATCAAACACGAACATAGTCTGGACTTACAAAGACTCGAACTCCCTTCAAGCCTAGCCAACACTACTCAGATCCTATCAACTATTTCTCCGGCCACGTCCCGTGGACTTTTTATCCCACATTTACTCCCTAAGTGTAAAAGAAAAAATAGTTTGATGAAAACAAAGAAACTAAATAAAAAAACAGCCTCAGTCCTTGAGTGTGTAAGAACTCTCGTACTGAACTGTGTACAACTGAATAGAACAGAATATATGAAGCTCGAGTATTGCTCTAAAAATCTCTCTGACTTCAGCAGCCGCATTAAGAGCTTCCTCTAGGGTATTTATATAAACTCCTTAGGGTTGGAGTCTTTTACAAGGCATATGACTTCAAGCTTGATTTTCTTCCATAATTGTAGCTTATCTTTGGTAAGTGAATCTTCCATTCTCTTTCTCATTGATCCCCTAACTATGCACGGCTCTTTCTTTCTTTATCTCTATCACGTCCGATTTCCTACAAAATAAAATACCATAATAAGATCCATAATATCTTATATATGGAATATAAAATAAACTCAATTAAGGAAATAAAATATCTGAAGATCTTCTTTTTTTCTGTGGTTCCAGGTGCTTGTTCGAACTAACGAACTAATGCCAAATAAAAATATCTTTCTGCGGGCTCGGTAGAGAGAGTCAATGCAGGTCCTAGGACAGACTTGCTCCAATACCATATTAGTACTAGGGGAATAGAGTGCGGTCCCACCAGATGAAATGTACCATAAGAGGGTGAACCTAAGTACACCTTAGTGAGGTTTCATCCAAAACCAATTAGTCATAATAGGAGCAGCCCAATTAGGCTCATTCACTCTATATAATCAATACGAGACCACCCACAAGTGATATTTCAACAATAATTAATATATGGTATAAAAATACGAGATCTTGACACGGTAAAGCCTTAATAAACTTTTTTTATTATTATTAATGATTAACAAGACAATCTCCAACTATATGTTAGAATGATTATAGAAAGTTATAATAGATAAGTTGTGTATTGTAGCTAGGTTGGTTTGTTAATATGTATTTAGTACACTACTAATACAGCAGAAAAGACAAGGGGGAAAATGTAAGAGTTATTGGGGACACATAAATGACCTCAAATAATGTAAAATTGATTTAGGAGTATGCAATGCTTTACTTATTATAAATTGGATAATGAGCCCCACAAATAATAATGATTATTATTATTAAACCATTGCACATATTACATTTATAGGTATATAAAATAAAATAAAAAAAAAAATGAGAATGGTTTATAAATATTTATATTTACAGTTATATAAAATATATATAAAAAAATATTAATATTTCATTGTTATTCTTAGGCACGGACATATAAATTGAAAATTAAAAAAAAAAATAGGATTATTTTACGTCAAAATCGACCGACTTTTATTCAACCGAGACATAAGAACATTTTAAACATTTCATAATAAACAGTTGCTGTCATCCACAACACACACAATTATCCTTAATTTTCAAATTAGGGAAAAACATATTTAAGCATAGTGATTAGTTGTCGTTTATATTGTCTATTAGTGGGTGGATTTTTTAATTAATTAAATAATTAGTTAATTATATATATATATATAAGTCAGATCCAAAATCGAAATTTTGCCTGTGATGTCAGTCAAATTTCATTGATGGAATAAGTGTTCTCGATTCCGACAATCGTCAGAAATTAAATTAAAATAATACTCGCCTTATCCTATTATTGCATCCAAATTTAGATTAATAAATATAGTAATAAGGAAAATGAATTTTGCAATTTTTACAATGCACGATTTTTATTGTTTTTTTTCTTTTTTAAGATATATCTGAACTATTATTTTTAGTGTAAAATACAAAATATTTTTTTTTTAAAAAAATGTAAAAAACCCGTACAAATTTTCGTTTATTACGTGGGTCGACTCATTATATTTAAATAAAATCGCATAACTTATATTATGATCAAAATCGTATTAAATGTTATACTTTTATCTAACACAAATTCAACTGATGTAATAATAGTAAGTGACAAAAACGCCATAAAATTGAATTGGCATCGATTAAAATGGCAATTAGTAAGTGACAAAAATTATTTTTAAAATATTAACAAGAAATATTTTAGATTGAAAAAATAAATACATATTTGATTTCAAAAAAAAAAAAAGCGCGAATAGTAGTGTATTTAATTTTCTC